TATTATTTATTTTGAAAAAATTAATTACTTCTAATATCTATTATATAGAATTATAACAATTTTCGATTTTCTAAAGAACATATAACCAGACAAATAACATATAACACATATATGACAATAATAAGAAATTATTAAATTTAATTTATAAACGCATTTAAAGATAATTATGCTCTCTAATGTTTCCGTTTACACAATTTTAATAATTTAATGGACTGAAAGTTAATATCCGCCAGCATTTACTTGAATATTATTATTCTACATCAATGTATTATGTTGTATTTGGGGAGATTTCCATATGGAGTAATAGACTCCAATTTATGTTTCATACATTACACAAGTGCTACATTATATATTCTAATGTACGTAGAAATATGTTATTATTATGTATCATCGAATTTTTATAGTTGTCAAATTATATTCTATTAATAAATCTATTAATATAAATCTATCAAATAAAGATTTTCCCACGTAATATTTTTTAAATTAATTATAATTAGATTTTTGTTTCTACTTCTGGAGTTTGTTCACAATAGATAAATCTTTTTTTTTCCCAGAATAAATTCTCCATGTGAAATAACTCTGTAACTATCGACATTTTGATGTCTAAATGGCTATCATTCTTCTCAGTTTTGTTTTCGACAGACAAAAGAATGACCATTAGAATACTTTGTGTGTCTATCAGGGCCGCATTAATCCACGTCTATAAGCTAAAATATTTTAAGCATGTTATTACATGATGTAATGTTATCTAAAAATTTTTTTCAGGAATTATATTACGTCAATTTAAAAATTAATTTTTTCAATACCTTATTTAAAAAAATTCTTCATGTATTTGATGTATAAAAATAGTAAAAAGAAACACAATAAAAATACAAAGATTGAAGAATATAATAAATATATATCACAATATGAAGAACAGAAAGCGAATTTGGTTTTTCTTTACTATGGATTGCGCTTTACTATGAATCGTCTTATTTGTCTAGTGACTTTAAATCATGTATGAATAATATTATTTCAAAATGCTTAATTAAAAAAAAAACTCTCTAAAATTGTCCGCCGTGGGTTACAGCTCACTCAACACATGTCTTAATACGGCACTGTATCTTGCGTACCGCTGTAAAAATAGATTTAAAAAATGTACGTCAAGTAGAAACAAAAACTCACAAATCCTACGACGTGCAGAAAATTAATTTTTGTAATGAAGATATTAGTACTCTTGAGGAAGAAAAAAAATATTAGTAGTTGATACAATATATAATATTAAGCAATGAGACTCTGCGCATATAAATATTTTAACATGTCTCAGAAAATTATCATTCAAAAAGTTTCTAAATCGTTCTCAGTGCTAAATATTTTATAATATTCCAACATTCGAGACATTTTTTATAGTTAAAAAATATGATCGCAAGTTTCGTACAAATTGTATGAAGAAATCTGGCGAGATCCAGTATCATGGGACCATTAATCTTCGTCTGGCGCCGTCCTTTGCCGTCAGATTAGGACCCTTCTTAGATTCTTTCTATATCTTTCGCAATGGCGTAACGGAAAGGCAAACATTAAAAGAGTCTCTCAACGAATATAAGCTTCTTGAAATAGTTGATTAATATTGAAGTTGATATTACCATCAAGAGATTAAGTCTCGAATTGAGTATTCAACTTAATTAACAAACATCATTTTTTGCAAATATAATTGTTGAGAGGAAGTTTTGATAATAAGTCGAACGAATAATTAATTACTTTCTAAAAGATATATGAATTCGTATAATGTACACATTTGTCTTCGAAATGTTTTATCTTTCCCTTTAACTATAAATGAGCAATTATGAAAAATTATTGGCTCGTAGATATCGAATGTAGATTTAAATACAGATTGAATTAACGTAATTACCGTGAGACATATAGTCAAGATTAAATCATTTTGTGGTGAGAATTTTTTACATTAATTGTATGACGTTATCGAATTTTCCTCTTCTTCTCATTCTGAAAATCTCCGATATCGGAACGCGGCAAGATCTTTTATACTATTATTTGCATATTACGATCCTTTTTAGTTAGATGTTATAAACGAATAAATCTAAATTCGGACATTCGTCTGACGCTGCATTTAAATTGTCAGATTTATCGGCATGTAGAAGTGAAATTAAAGACATTATCAGTGATGCTGTCGCTACTGGAAAACTCACGAACGTCTGCGATTCTTCTTCGTGACCGCGATATATCGTTATCTCGCGGAAGGTTTTGTTTAAGAGAACATGCAGTCGCGCTTGCAACCTATCTTAGGTTGAAATTTTTAATAAACACTCTCTTGAATTCTCTCTCTCAAACATTCTTCGTATTTCTTGTTAAGAATGAAATACAGTAGATATAAGCACGAATTTCGCAATTCTGTGCAAATAATACACGCATTTTGAATTTTACATTTTTTATCGAATATTATAGCATTATTTAGATTATTAACGTTTAAAATAGAATAAAACCGTCCCAAAGACTGGAAATATAAAAAAAATATATACAAATTTTAACATTCTCATTATTGTCCGTCAGAATTTCCGACGATATCCTACAACTAGATATTAATTTCAAGCGTTCCATCCCGTACATTGTTGACGGCTGCAATGCTGAGTGCATTAGAGCAAAGTGCATCAGGTCCGTTGCGTTATGCCATTATGAGGATTACTAGCGGGAAATACCTCTCCTGTTTTTCTCCACACTCGCGTAAAATTGTCTGGTTAATTGTATTTCATTGTTACCCCGCGCGGTTTGTGGGTGTGCGTGCACCGAGAAAAATACGCCGATGTGTTCTACGGAATTGCTCGTTAACTTTACATGCCCCGTTGTAAGCGAGATAAAAAAATCACGAGTGTGCAACATCCACGTAAACGTTTTATCAATTCAATATTTAGGTACAGAGTATATCAAAACATTGGCGGAAAATAAATCTATTTAAATTGAACGATAAATAATATTCCGTTATTAATCAGCGTTTCTAAATCATTACAAACGAACTTATATTTGTCATTTTACACTCTCATATAACAAAATTATTAATATATCTCAAACTTTTACTTTTTTATCTAAGTAATTTATATGCGATTGATATTATAAATCTGAGAATAAATAAGTACTAAAACATTTCGAGATTAATAATTTTGATATATAATAAATCCCTAAAAAATCATAAAAAGATCAGGCCATGTTCAAAAAAAGATCCTCAAAAATTTAAACTTTTATAAATTTAAATGATTATCTAAAATAATATATTACCATGAAGAGTAACTGATATGTTATTCAAGGTTGAAGTTCAAAATGAAAATACATATGTACATATAAGTAAGACAGATTACAATTTGATTCTAGAAAATAAGTGCGATATGTTATTCTTAGTGCACAAAATATAAAAGTCGGTTATTGAGATTTGATTTGAAATTTATACTAACCCGTACAATGAAAAATAATTGCTTGTAATTCCAGAGTACCAATTTGTTAATGACTGAAATAAAATAAGAAAAATGGCTTATTGATGATTTAGGAACGCTATAAATAATAGATATTGTTTGCCGTTCAATCTAAAAAGTATTTGTACACGATTAAAAATTTGTCGAATATATTATTAATAATATTAATTAATACATTTAGTTTAGGATAGAAACACATAAAAAGAACAAAACAATATAATTTAAATTTGTTTTTCCCGATAATTAATTACCAAACGCAAATAAGCATAGTATTGTACAAACGATTCTCTCGGAGAGACAATAAAAATGGATAAATGAATCGATTAAATCGTTGATTCCAAATTAATGATTTTACAGCCACAGCAGAAGTTATTCATGTCATCAAATTATTTTCGTTCGGCTGTTAATTGTCATGCATTTCCACATTTTTCAGGTAATTACCTTCATTTATCGCCTTGTTATCACGATAACAATACCGAGGTAGCCGATGACAATGATACAAATGCAGTTTGAGAATGAATGAATTTCGATATTCTCATAATGCAACGTCGCATACAGATCCTCACATATTTATGCGTAGCTCCGTAAAAATTACCTCACACCTAACACACACATATATCATTACATCTTGCATCCATGTAACAATTTTTAATTATTATTTATAATTTTACAATGACGTAATTATATTTTCCATGCACATTTAAAAAATAATATATTAAAATGGCTTTAGTAACAAAAATATATAATACGAGAAACACACTATACAAAAGAAATATAGAAAGCTAAAAAAATTTCATAGACTTCTTTTTGATTAAATTTGACTTTGATAAAAATTTCATTTTAGACATTTTCTTAATTTTCAACATTAAATATCTTAGTAATCAAAAACAGTACAAAATTTGTGCATAAAACAACATTAAGCTGTTTGTTTATGATTGACAATCTTTGTTAAAATAATAGGCAAATTAATAAAAGATAAATATTTAAATAACTTTGTACAATATGAAAGATTGTACCCATGTATGAGCTGCTACAAATATGTGTTATATTTCTAATTTATTTTAATTTATAATGAAATGAAAAGAAGAAGAGAAATGCTTCTTTATACACGACTGTGTGAAGCATGTATGTGCTTTATGCTTGTAATGTTGCAGAGAGAGAGAGAGAGAGAGAGAGAGAGAGAGAGAGAGAGAGAGAAGATAAGATATTTAATTTAGTCCTAATTAAAATTTGCAATAATTTCCAAATGTTATATGCGCCATGAGATTGCATATCAATACAAGTACTAAAATTCCATAGATTTTGTTTCGTGTGCTTTTCAAAATAAAAAAATTATTTAGAAAAATATTATCTTTCCCTTAATGTTTCTTAATATAATATAACGTTGTCTACAATTGTTCACTGAAGAATTTGTTATAATTATTTTATTCCATAACTTTTTTTAAAGTGAATTAATAAGTATATTAAATCAATAATTACATACAAAGCTATTAATTACGAAGATTATATTATGTCATTATTAAATTTTTGAATCTCTCTCTCCCTTTTATTCGTGTATGTTTTAGTTTACATACATATATCAACTTACTTAAACTCAATTCGATTGCATTTCGTTCATACGAACGTATTTCAAGGACACGCCGAAATATGAGATTATCGCACGTAAGACCGATTAAGACAATCTTGCTTATATTATCGCATGCACATTGGTACTGCAATCGTAATCGTGCGACGTATTCAAAACCAATAATTGCCAGAACGAGACATATCAATGTTAAAACATTCCTCGGGACGTGGATTTTGCGCAAAGAAATACATCATTTCCGCATATAAAAAGATATTCTGAAATGAAAAAAATTAGTAGTGCGCAATTAACAATTCAGTACTAAAGTCATTTGCGTTTATACAAGACGTTATTCGTGTCTAATTTCTCATTATGGCTCAAAGTCACATCATTTCTGCGATCTTCCTGACGCTCGTTTCTGCAAATGTATGTAATACCACGTCTAAAACAATATTCTGAAAAATAAAAATTAATTGTAAATTAAATTAATATTATAAATTAAAGTTACATACATATATGTTTCAATAATACATTCAAATTTAATTTAAATCATGTAAAATATAACAACAGTGAACATTTGTTCGTTGATTGTAAAACTATATTAAACAGAAAAGAACATTATAATCCTTAATATCATATACAAAAAATTTAGGCTAAATATATATGTATATACAGACAGAAATATATATGATATATATACAGACTTTACAAACAAAAACATTCAGAATTTATATGGTAGTACACACTATACAGAGTAAAAAAAGTCTTAGTGGTTTTTTTACTCATTGTCAGTATAATGTGTACTAATTATTGTTATAAACGTTAAATGCTTTTCAATGAACATTTTGTATATAGCTGAATCAATAAGTCAGGCCTGTCCAATTTAAACTCCGGGGTCAAAACACAAAGCTATTGACTCGAAAAAATTCAATGTGGGTAATATTTCAGGGACTATAAAGTGTCAATATGCATCTAAGTGACGCTTATCAACACTTTATAGTTCCTAAAACCTTACATTGAATTTTTTTTGGACAAACCTACAATAAGTAATCTTAATATATTCCACCTTGATTTTTGAGAGCAAACTTAAAGTTATTTAATGACTCATCTATCGTATATATTATAGATTTTCTAATGTAGTGCTGTATTTGTTAATCATATTTTGCACGATTTTTACAGATGATATATGGAGGAATTATACCAGAACAACTGTTTCACGAAGGCTTTATCACAGATTTTGCAAGTATACCCAAGATTCGCGAGTTATCTCGTAATTTTGCGACATCAGCAGCTAGTACAGCATCAAATACTTTCAACGACTTCAGAACGCGTATTGATAACTTACGTACCGTTTTGAGTCAACGTATAAATATTCCACCTGAATATCCTATATTACATCGCATCATGCATGGAGATATATGGCCGAATGTTGCGGGTCCAGCACCGATTGTTTCTGGTCGTATAATATCGCCACGTCCTATAGGCAATTATAGAGGCATTGGCGATAGTATTGGTGCTGCTTCCGCTGGAGCTGCAAGTTCTGCTGCATCTAGAAGATTAGCGAAGTATTAAGCTCGCAATTCACTGTAAAATATCGACGTTGAAATTGAACAGTTATTATATTATCTGACAATTAATATACATAATACATAATACAAGATTTACACAAAGTCCTTAATATACTTACTGATAGTAAGTTTGATTAAGTACATCGAAATAATAGAGTGAAAAGCAACATGTAATTTCAACATTTGTTAATTAAATAATAGTTGTAAAGTACTTGTTTCTTGAAATAAAAAATTAAAATATTGTTTTTTTATGGTAAATATTGAGGTATCGTTAATTTGGCGTAACTATATGTATATCTCATTAATTTTATACAAGTATAACTTTTAACTGTGATACGTCTGTCTTTTAATTTCAATTTATTTGTTATTTTTAAATAACTACAAAAATCAATAAATTTCTTTATAAAACAACTAAACATTTATTTATCGTCAACCAAATATATTTGCATTTAATGGGACATGTAATCTGAAAAAACGACAAAAAATCCATGAGTTATATTTTTCGAATACACGATGTCAACGATAGATATTGACATTTATTATTTTGGAATTATAAAAGGAGGTTCCCGTTTGCCTACAAAATAATTACCTACAGCTTCGTTTGTACATAATCATATTGCACATAGCACATTACACACATGAACATATTACACACAGCACGTTGCACATACAATGCACATAACATATTGTATACACGATTGTAGGTATTGTGCACAGCGTATTGCACACGACCATATTGCACACATGTCACTTTGCACACTAATGGTGCTTTCCAGCAAGTGGCACAATGTGATATGTCACGCAGTGATCATGTCATCTTCGTTTAACATTAGTAAACAATATGAATGTAATGATTTACTGATGTTACACTGTGCATCTGTGTCTCTTGCTGGAAAGCACCCCAAATCTCTTACATACGTGTCACTTTGTACATATAACCGTGTCGTGTATACGTGTTGCGCCTATTACACACAATGTTGTCATATGTACGATATTGCACATTACGTTCGTAGAATTCCGACGATAACCGAGTACGGTCTGCTGTTTTATCTAATAGATAGAAATTGTTGCATTATAACATGATAGCAAAAAATGTTACAAAAATTAAATAGAAGATTAGAACTATAAAAAAATTAGATATCATTGTGTTTAATGTCATCATTAAAGATATAGGTATCGTACTGCTATGCATGTAGAAATAATTATTTCATTAATATGCAATCATAAATGGCGTGTGCATAAATTGATAATATAACTTTTTTATTTTACGTATCAAATATGTGTTCCTCATATGTATTATATATAACCATATGCGCAATGTGACACGTGTACACGCGCGCATATACGATTCGGTGCACAAAATGGCATATGTGCAACGCATTGTGGGCAATACGATCATGCACAAATAAAGCTGATAGGAAATTATTTTGTAGGCAAATTGCGCCTTCCTAATTATAAAATAACTTCACCTATTTCTTTATGCTCGTTTAACACGATAAAGGTTTTATTAACTCAATCCCTTTTCTATATACAGAGGTAAATTATTGTTTAAACATAAATGGTATGTAATTTTTTTACGTACCTTTTTATTTATCTTACATATGTATGTGTCATAAATTTAAATATATTTTTCTTAACGTTTAAATTAATCCTAATCTACACATTCTATTCCAACACATGTCGGAAATAAAATTCCAGATTATAAGTGAAGAAAAATCGCAAATGTATATATACTGGAGTGCTGTTTCTATATACGGTTGGAAAGAGTTTAAACTTGAAAGAGATGAATAATCCTAAAGTCGCACCGCGTGTGAAAACTCAAAGTAATTTAATTAACCTAAATATATTTACTTAGTAAAAGCAGAAGTACGTCGAAAATTAAGTTTTCAGTAATAAAAAATAAGTTTCAGTATAAAATTTACGTTACTTGCGTATGCTAGGCTCGTATTATATTGATTTGTAATTACGCTATTTACGTATAATACAATTAATTTTAATAAATTAAAATAATCTGACCCTACATAGCCCACTTACTTAAGCTTTGTATTTTTTTCTAATTTTTTACTGATTGTAAATCCAAAATTAAAAATTAATGGTCACGTTCGAAAGAGAAAATATTTTTAGAGTTTGATTTGTTATACAAAATATTTTTAAATGTTAAAAAATATGACATTTTCAAATATTTATACGAGTGCAGTGATTTTAGAAAGATTAAGATTTTAAGAAAATTGCATTTATGTATGTACCTAATATGCCTTAAGAGTACACATTTTTCTCTTTCGTAAAAACATTTTTAAAAAATGGAAAATAAAGTGATCCAATGTCACTTTTGTATAAGATTATAAATTTATTGACATATTTATTGATATGTAAGAATACACAAATAATTGTTTTATAAGCAATCGATTTATCTATTATACTTATCTTCACAATATTTAGCAGGTGAAGTGGAATCCATGGTCTAAAATAATAACAATAAGAGAAAAACGTTACAATTAATATGTGTACACTTAGTAGGTCGATAATTGATAATATTAATGCCACCTCCCTGGCAAAAATAAAAATTGGAGTGTAAGTCAAATGTAAGAGGAGAGTGACAGAAGCGTAAACGAAACTTCTAGAAAGCGAAAATTAGAATTGATATAAGTATGCGACAACAAAATGTAAAAGAGGCATTTCTTTTACGTTCCGTTGTCTCAATTTTTGTTTCCAAGAAGCTTCTATTGTTCTCTTCTTACATTCGACTTACGCTCTGATTTTTATTTTTGTCAGGACTTAAAAGAGTTTCCTCTCTTTAATTATAAATAAAACATTGTGAGAAAAATATAAATTAAATACAGTGTTGTAAAGTATATAAAGAGCTACAATAATATAAACTATGGAAATTAATAACACACAATCTCTTGGTAGTTATAGAAAGAAATTATTTACCTATAAAATATTACATTATAACTACAACGTTTTGCTTTACTGACAATAAAATGACGCAAAAAATTGATGCAATCGAGTCAGACGGATAGCTTATATGACTTATTAGTGCCATTATTGATATGTATTTACCGTGTAATTATCTACAGCGAGTAGGTTGTATTAGATACTGGGATCTGCGCAGTTACTTTATTTTATAAATATTACGTATGGAAATAATTTGACTTATTGTTACAACATTGTACAAATTATGTAGAAATAAATTAGAATAACGAGAAGCATTGTGCAACAGAAAATTAACATTTTGTTCCTTGAACGAAAATGACAGATAAATGGCAATTTAAATTCTAATTGACATAAGTATGCGACAATTAGGTATATATATTGTATATTGTCGAAGGTAACAGATAGGGAAGTAATTAACAATTTTCAATGTCAGTGATATCGCTATTTTATCATTTTCCATGAATCATTGTTTTCCTGACACGTATTCCAACCGTTATTATTCGCATTATAAATATAAATGAACAAACATGAGTGAACGAATAAACATGTAGTTTCGACACTTTTGTCTTTACTTTTCACTGCTTTCAAAAAATACAATCTTATTTTAATGATCAACGTAAAGAATTTTTAAGAGATAAAATAATTGCCAAAAATCATTGTAATTGGCTCGATTATCAAAATAATGTTACGTATTAATATGGCAATTGTCACTTTATTAATAAGTTAAACGCAATTTCAATTTCAGTAAATTCCATTATTAGCACACTCCCTCTACGATACGATCAAATTAATAGTTGTAAAGGATTACGGAATGTCGAGAATTTCTATTTAGCAGCATCGAACCAAGCATCGAATCTTTAATTTCAGTAGCTTCCCAATAGTGTTATTTCCATATTAAACGTTTCTCGAGAGTATTTCTACATTTCGTCGAACAATATTTTTCATTACGAATTACGCAATGATTCCATTTAAATAATAATATAATAAAGATTTTATTAAGCATTTACAACTGTAGTTGTTTTTGGAGGGGTAAGACTAAATTTAGATAAGTTTTTTGTTGGTGGTCATGAATACATAGAGTAAGAAATCTGATTGAAATATAGTGGTTGCACCGTCATTATCTGCGATATCTGTTGATCCAATGATGCGATGGTTCAACCCACGGATATTCGAATCGCAATTACAATTAAAGCACGTAGAACTTCAATATACTATAGAAATTCAATGCATATTGCTTTTACATAAAACACAATACCTAGCTATTCGCAAACATTTTACTACTAAACTGACTAATAAGTGTATTATCCGTATTACCGTATAACCGTATATATAAAACGATACAAGAAAAATTAATATTAATAACAAATGATAATTAATATTTAATTTGTATTTAATTTAATTTTTTACTTTTTATTTCATTTCTCTTCACTGATAATGGCTTAAAGAAAATTGAAACATTCGAAATCATTGTAAAGTAATGGATACTTGAATATATTGTATAAAATTACGCAATGATTACTACAGATATATATATACATATATATAATATATACTCATTTATCTGTTATTCTTAAATATTATATATTTTTTTATTTGTATTTTATAAAATAAGTTAAATTAATTGTATTGATGATGATTAATACCATAAATAACACAACAAATATCTATCAGAGAATGTATTATATATATTCAGAAAAATTATGAAATGTAATTAGGAAATGACAAATTTAATAATGTTACTCTGTAATTATTTGAACTTAAAAGGTGTAAAGGCAGACACACACAACACACATACACATTATTTGTATGTGTGATTGCGTGTAATATGATGTATTGTTCATGCAAAATCATGCAAGTAATTTAGACGTATTGCTGAACGCACAATAAATCAATCTATTTCCAATCGGATCGTATCATTTCGAGAGCGTAATCGTATCGAGCGTGTTATCGTCAGCTATTATTACGGCGCGTTCATTCTCGTGTTCCACGTCAGCACGTCGAGTGATTTGAGAACAATATCAACGATGCATTCGTCCTGAACCAATGAGAACGGATACAGAGTTGCGTGTACGCAAATTTGCATAACTGGGTTCGTTTCGAACGTGTGGTGCATGGGTAGCCCGATGGTTGGCGTTGTCATTTCACGTAGCGTTATCATGTAGTTCCTTTTTTCAGGAAACGATACAAAAAAAAACGACTCGCAATGATAAAAAACGTTATGCCAT